CGCTCTTCATTTTAGTCTGCACGAAGAATGTCATGTCTCTGTTAAATTGTATTTTTTTCTTCATCTTTTTGTCTGTAACATTTCACTTTAGGGAATCATCAGATTAAACTTTCGTTGTTTGCAAGCATGTCTAAAATTTAAATTAAAAGAAATGTTAATCTAACACTTGGCCGTGATTAATTGAAATGCAAACACCTACTGCAAAATTAGCAGCTCACGCTGTTTAATGCAGTCAGTGTATTTTAACAAGAAAAAGTAACTGGCTATGTTTTAAAAGACCAGTAGCTTTAAAGGATTTTTATGGGGTTGTTTACTTTTAAACACATGAGCAGTTTAGCTGTTGCACTTACTACCATTGGGGAAAGTCAAATTTTTTGAAGGCTTATAAAGTGAAAGAGAATATCGACTATACAGAGTGAAACTAGCTATACACAGAGTAACTCTGAGAAATCTAGAGTAGTATTTTCCATTTGATTCATTTTCATTATCATAATTCACTTATGGGTAATAAAATGTGAAACCTTGTGGCTAAATAGATTTAGAAAAATTAAATTGTTTAAAAATGAGTTACTGGTTAATTTCCCAGTAAGCCGCAAGTGTGATCTCACTCTGGTGTGGCATTTCTCACTCAGTTTTTGATCCTGTCTATTTGTTCCTGGTAAGATAAAAAATATTTTAAAGTAGTATAATCCTGTTGAAAAATTTAATTTCCTGAAGCATGTTTCATAAGGACGCAGGGCAGAATGCTGTCTCACAGAGTTGTGTTACTTGCTAGCAATTTACTACCTCTAATATAGCTTTTAATCATGTATGTAAATTTTAACAGAATATGTCTGCACTATTATACTGCTATTACACTGTTGCATTCTGAGAATACTTAATAATTGCTTTTTTTCCCCCCCCTCAGCCACCAGAAAGACAAATTTTAGTTGGGATTTGTTCAATGGCTAAGAAATCTAAGTCCAAACCAATGAAAGAAATTCTTGAACGCCTCTCCATGTTTAAGTACATAACTGTTGTAATATTTGAAGAGGATGTTATTTTGAATGAGCCAGTTGAAAACTGGCCTTTATGTGACTGTCTCATTTCCTTTCATTCTAAAGGTAAATCTTTTACTAATACAATGAATATTTTCAACAACTAAGTATTTCTTCCAGTCTAGGGATTTTTTTAAATTATTTTTGCCTTGCAGTTCTCTTAGATTTTTCCTAGGAAGCAGTGCCCTTGTCTTGTTTAATGTAATACAACTGACTTTTAAAATGCAAGCTCTTAAAATGATGCTGTTTTTTATTGTGTGAGAAAGTGCTGTCCTGACATGACATTTAAAATAGCTGTTCCATTAGTAAATATTTGGAAAGCCAGTGGAATGGTAAGCCCTGTTGATCTAATACTAACTTGGATCAATAACTGCAAAAGCATGCTGCTCTCTCAGTGGGCGTGTTGGGTTTCTAGCTACTTGTTCCTGTATCTCTGCTAATCTCTATGTTTTTTGTGGAACTCTGCAGTGAACCAAAGATGAGTGGGCTGAGGTTAAAAATCACATTTTTCGGGCAGAGGCAACACAAGCCCTAGTTCTGGCACTAGGGAATGTGGAGTGAGGAGGAGGGAATGGGAAACAGGAAGATTACTTATGGCAACGTACACTGAAATCAAGCTATAGTTTCATGATTGTCTTAAGCTCACATTATGTACGTTTACAGTTGAGAGAGGGAACATCCTCCCAAAGCCATATGTCTGGTTATACTCTGAAGTTTGCAAATGAAGGTTCCAAACTATTTACTAGCATTGTGTCTTGTGATTTTTATTTATACTCGTTAATAAACATTTTAGGTTTTCCCCTGGACAAAGCAGTTGCCTATGCAAAACTCAGGAATCCATTTATAATCAATGACTTGAATATGCAGTATCACATACAAGACAGGTAAGTGATGCTAACTACCTGTCAAGAACAAACCACTTCTAAGCGAGGGACTCGCTTCGAAATGTTCAATTTCTTGTAGAGTATTAATTTTACGCTTTACGAGCATCGTACTTTGCAGTTGTATATATTGAAAGAGATTAGCAGCCTCAGTGAACATAGTTATTATGCAAGATGGTGTTAGCTGTGAAACAGGAAAAGCTTAATCGGAAATATATTAAACAGTTAATTGCCTCTGAGATGAGGAAATAAAAGAACGTTTGATTCTGGGGTCACAACCGTTCTCTGCTACTGTAGAGCATTCCATAGTTATAGAATTCGTGTGGCTTATGAAAGACTTTTTCTGTAACGTTAAAACTTCTGGGGGTCGTTGAATGACCACATGGTATTTGAATACCAAAGTGAATTTTCTTTCTGGGCTGCAATCATGGTTAGCAAATATTAAGAAAACAGTAGTAAGCAAAATAAAGAAACATTAGCGCTTTCTGAACAGTGAACAGACTTGCTGTTTTGGACGCCTTCAATTGCTGTGCTATATGAACTTTTTCAGCCCTTCTTGTTACTCTCTTCTACTGAGAGACTTGTTCTGTGGAAATTGCTCTTGCAGTGTGAGTGTGGAGGGAAAGCACTGGCACTGCAAACATTGTTTTGCTGATACTGATGAGATCACTGCAAAGGTACAGCTCTCCATCAACAACCTTTTGAAGCATTGTAGCATTGTATGCACCGAGTATTACAAGTGATTTATGTGATGTGGTTATATATTTTCCTCCTCCCTTCCACGCGCTCATGGGTTTGGAAAATACAAATACTGTCAGGACTTGCAGTCTTACTGTGCAACTTCTGTTCTTTCCTTCTAGGAGAGAAGTATACAGTATTCTTAAAGCTGAAGGCATTTTACTTCCTCGTTATGCAGTTCTAAACCGTGATCCAAACAATCCCCAAGGTAAAAACTGATGACAAAAGTATCAACCACTGGCATCCTTTGGTTTCCGTTGGAGAACAGTAGATACATACTTGAAAGCTAACTAAACTTTACTTTCTAGAGAATTAGTTCATTGGCTCAGAGATCAATGTCTTCTCTAGTATTTAATTGCAGTATATGTTTGATGATTCTGAAGTCTGGGATCAGAATTCTCTTATAGCCATCATAAACCAGCTAGAATGAGGCCTTCCAAAATCAAACTGATACAGAAGTATGCTACCAGCCAAGGAGAGCAGCATTCATGATTTTTCTTAAATTACCCACTGTAATTAGTAATCTTGCTTAGAGTAGTAAGACTGGCAAAAACAACTCAGGCTATTGAATGCTTTCCCTTTCAAATACAAGGAACTGTGTAAAGGAAATGTAGTACAGAGAGATTCTGCAGATGTTCTCCTCTGACCATCACTTGCAATGAATTTTTTCTCTTCTTGAAAGCAAACCTAAGAGCTTTTTCTACTAAAAATCAAACATCCTATAACTATAGGAGATTGCAATGACAGATCAAGACATAAGAGTAAGATAAACAATAAGGAAAATTGGAGCATTATCATGTTGTAGCTCTTTGGAGGGGTAGAGAATTTTAGGTGAAAAAGTCTGCATGATGTCAGAGAAAAAAAGACTCATTTTATTGTCTTTGAAGTCAAATGAAAGCTACTGCACCCAGCCAGCCTGTAGCGAAGTGACTTCTGATCCCATACACAGAAGAGCTACCTAATCCAACACATATTGTGAAAGAGTTCTCAGCCCGATGAAAGTACCATTGCATCTGGCCCCACATTAACTGTCTAGCTGTGATCACTCTGGTATTTCAGAGAAAGTAAGAAACTAACAGCCCTACCTCCTTCCTTTGAAACATTTCCAAAAAAAAAAAAAAAAAAGCTCATATACAGGATTATGCCTCTTTAGGGGAGGATTTGCTCTCTGATTCTGCAAGAATCAGCAGAAGTCCTGAAACAGAGGATTAACGTAATACCATTTAGATGTGCTACAGCAAACATATTCAGCACATGATGATCAAGTCCTTGTGCAGTCAGTAGCAAATCAGACAACCAAATATTCATGTTAATCTACTTCAACCTCCAAAATCACCTGTAATCTCTAATCATCTTTTTCCATGAATATATCATTGCATCTCTGTTTGCACTGTTTCCTCAGAATGCAGTTTGATTGAAGGAGAAGATCATGTGGAAGTGAATGGGGAAATTTTCCAAAAGCCTTTTGTAGAAAAGCCAGTTAGCGCTGAGGACCACAATGTTTACATTTATTATCCAACATCTGCTGGGGGCGGGAGCCAGAGACTCTTCCGAAAGGTGAGGACAGTGTACTAAAACTGCTGAGATTCTGTCATGCTAAGTGGAAGATTGGTGAAATTAGTTCTTGTGGGGTGGAATCAGTCTCCTAGTGTGAGAATACAAAAGTAGATTCCATAAGAAAGTTAACAGCCTTTGTTCTTTTTTTCTTCCAAAAAAAAAAAAAAAGCTGCAGATGCCTAGCAGATAATTGCACAGTAATTCTGTCCTGTCCGTATGTTAGCTGGGACGTGCATCTTTGCCTTTGTCATATATGGCCTATAAAGGAGTAGTGACAGATCAGAAAAGTGCATTTCGGGAAAACTTATAGAATGAATTAAGACCCCTGTTCCTTTTTTGCAGACTGTGAGCTACTGCCTATTCTTGTAGATAAAAGAAGTGTACGCTATCAGGGCATGTTTAGAATATCATAAAAATCTTCCAAGAACAATCAAAAGCTACTTGGTTCATTTAGGACAGGAAATGTGTTCTATCAGTACAGATGTGGTACTTTAAGGAGTTTTAAGAGTTTCTCATACAGTAACCTATGAGTTTATTAATAGACAAATATTTATTTTAGATCGGCAGCAGAAGCAGTGTTTATTCCCCTGAAAGCAGTGTGAGAAAAACAGGCTCCTATATTTATGAGGAATTCATGCCTACAGATGGCACTGATGTGAAGGTATGACAACCACGCGTTCTGATTTATATTTAGAACAATCAAGTGCTCTAAGAGTCTGTCAGCTTTAAAGATGAAAGTATATCTGTGTATCAAGGATTAATTTTAATAACGTTTTGATACGGTTCATAAGTAGAGAATGTCGTTCTTATTCTAGCAGGACGCAGTACTTGTAGTTCAGAGTATCTTTGTTTATGTCCTTGCAGTCAAGTACTGGATGCTTATTACCTGACACATTGTCTTTTTTTGTAATGTATTAGTGCCAGAACACTGCATACTTTCCTGTATAAACCTTGATGTTTTGTCTGAAGTTTGCAAAAAAACTATACCTGAAATATATGTTTACCAAATATTTTAATCTTATCATTAATAAACACTAGTTACTTACTAAAACTATATGAAGTTGGAAAAGGTAATGCATTAAATGTACCTATATATTATTTATAATCTTTTCTTCATACACTTTAACAGATACAAAGATTAGGTAGGCATCATAATAGAGTGATAAAATACATTAATAACAGAGCAGGAACTCAGCCTATAGAAATTGCTTTCCCTCCCTTTGTGTCCAAAGTCAATTCTGAGCCTATCACAAAACACATCAAACAATTGTTTTACCTTATGCTTGGGATAGCACCATATTTAGGCCAAGAGTGGAAGTTAGAGAGCCTGAAATTTAGCAGTCAACTTTTTCCACTTGGAGATGCATGAGGGGAGTGCTGGTTTTATGTTTTCAGACAAATTCCCTGTTCTTTAAAGTTGCTGTGCTTTTGTGAGCTGTCCCCTTCACATGGTTTTTGTGTGCAACACCATGCAGAATACTTTGCAGGGGGTTAACCTGAGGTTGCAGAAGCCTGTGTAAAGAGCTTTACAATCTATTTTCAAAAATGTCTCTAGTGATCTGAAGAGATTCAAATGACTGGGTAGAGACTGCTTTGACTAGTGTGATAGTGTAGTCACTGAACAGCGACTGTGGACTTAAGCATCCTGAGTAGATTTTTCTTCAAGTAAAAAGACTTTCGTCTTCCTATCAACTTCACCCAACTCGCCCTCTTACCTGAGTTGACCTGCTTTTAGGTATTTCTGTCATCCATGTTCTCATTCTGGCTTGCTAGCGTCTGAGAAACTACATTCATCAGTCAAGCAGGAAATGCACAGTCGGGTCTTGCAGGAGGTTGGTGATGCTGCCTGCCATGCCTTGTGATAGCAGTATAAGACACACTTGTCACCCCATCTCTTTAACATGATGTCCTGCAGGGCGTAACATCTGAGAACTGTTTTGAAAAAGTGCAACTGCCTACAATTGCTCCCTTAAATCTACTGGCAAAGATAAAACCACCGTGTCTAGTCTCAATAGGCTTTCCAGTGAATCTATATTACGTTATAGTCAACCGCACATTCTTAAATGCGGCACGTGGAAGGGGTGTTGTCAGCTTAGATTTTTAGCCTTGGAGAGGTTTCTGTGACTTAAGCCCGGCCTTCATTCTATCTGAAGAAGGTATCGAGACAGTATGAGAGCTCTTACTACAGCATTCTTCAGTCCTGTTGGAGAAAAGATGGGATATTTGACAGTATTTACAGTCACCTGCTTAGTTGAAGACATTCTTATTAAAACTTAGATTTGTTTTTAAGGGAAGTAACAGTAGCCCATTTCTTGAGAGCTTTTGACAAATCTTTTCTAGCAAAGACTCCAATACTTTCCTCTTTCAGTGAGTATTGTCAGCTGAAATTCTAGCAGAGGAGGCAGCACTCTTATTTTCTGAATCCCTTGTCTTGTCACCATAAAACTGGGCAGATAGTCTTTGTTCAATCTTACCTAAAATACGAAAATATTTTTTTAATGGGAATCAATTAGTCCTACAGCCAAATTTCAATAATCAAGTAAGCTCAAGTCATTTTTTTTTGTATTAATCTATCCAGATTTTGCAGATATTTCGGTTTAAAAATAAAAAAATTAATCCTCATTCAGCAATTTCTGTCTTTACCTGTTCACTTGGGCTCTGGCTGTTTTCCTCTCTTGTTTCATCCTAGGCTGTCACTAAATGATTGGTGTCCTCTGAACACAGTGCCATTGAGGAAGTTGCTTTAGTGCCATCTCATCAATAATAAAAATTTGCTGACATCTTTTGCACGGACTGTCACACTTGAGATAAATTTAGTAAGGCGCTTGATGCGTGTAGTGTAACTTAATTACACTGAATCAAGAGTTCCTATTTTTTTAATAAAGGTGTACACAGTAGGTCCGGACTACGCTCATGCTGAAGCCCGAAAGTCTCCAGCTCTGGATGGCAAGGTAGAACGAGATAGTGAAGGAAAAGAAGTGAGGTATCCAGTCATCCTGAACGCAAGAGAGAAGTTAATTGCTTGGAAAGTATGCCTTGCCTTCAAGGTAAGCTGATTACTTTTCTATCTGATCAAACAGTTAGTGCTAATTAATTGTTTACCACATGAAACTTTCTTAGCGTTTAAGTGTACGGAGCCAGTAGTTATACAGCTGCAGAACTCCCAAGAGAGAGAAGAGTTAAACTTCCACATCTACGTTTTGTTTAATCTGGAAGAATTCCTCCTTTACATTAAAAAGTTCTGGATGGGATGCTTTTATTGTGCAAAGCACAAAAGTAGCAGAAAACTTGCTAGTCCACAAGTGTATGTGTTGTATCCATTATACATTCACATGCTTTGTTGATGGTTTCCAAGTAATAGAAATGCAACTGCAGTAGTCAAGTTTATGTAAGTCTTGTTGACTAGTATTTACACTGGGTATGATTAATTTGGTATTGACACAATTAGTTTTTCTTGATTTTTAAATCTTTGATTTTCATTTCCGTGTAGTTTAAGGTACTTTTGTTAAAACTGCGCTCAACTTCTTAGCCTCCCTTTAGCCTTCTTATTGAAAGTTGCCTTTCAGTCTGTTGTGTGTTAAATGCACGTAGCTACAATGGTATATAGGAGCCTGTAGGGTACGGACCATTATCACCTAGCAAAGTGGGCTTCCAGCTCTAAGTAGTAATCTGTTAAAATAGCATTTTATCCTAAATTAACAATGTCAATATCATGTCAATGTCAAAACAATATCCTATCAAATTTAAATGTGGATAGAAATGTTTTTATTAGTGCTTTATCTCTTCTTGCCTGCCACCCTCAAAAAGCAGCGTCCAGAGAAAAATCTCTGTGAGAATGGGGGATTTGTGAGTCAGTCATTGACTGTACAAAGGGACTTGAGGATTAGATTTGTGAATATGTGCACTTGACCTGCAATATTGATATTGCTACAGATAAAGCAAAGTTGGGGGTGTAAAGCTAGTAAATAGAAAAACAGTTGCATAAGGTGAGCAAACCTTACATGGAACTGGCAAAAGGCATTAAGTATTAAATCTGTGATTTTTGTCATGTTTTCGAATGAATACCATATTAAAATGTAATGATTGTTTATAGCAAGCAAAGCTAAGGAAGGTGATCTCTGCCAGAAATGACTTGAACTTTTATTCTGGAACAGCAAACGGTTTGTGGCTTCGATTTATTGCGAGCTAATGGACAATCCTATGTCTGTGATGTGAATGGCTTCAGTTTTGTGAAGAACTCCATGAAATACTATGATGATTGTGCTAAGATACTTGGGTAAGGGTTTATTGACTTCAGGAGTTTTGCCTGTTCACTGTATTATGTGTAACTATAGCTTATGTGCTGCTTTTCCCTTATTCCTAAATTCTTCCTGGAATATCTGAGTTGAGCATTTTGTGAATTGTAATTGAAAAAATATTTTGAAAGCAGGACTGAGGTCTTACAGGTAGTTGAGTTTGGGTTTTTTTTTTGTTTGTTTGTTTTTCCTCCAAGTGGGCAAGCACCGCTGAGTGATTATGCTTCCTGCTGTTTAATACATGCTCAAATTAATGAACATCGTCCTTGATCTAATGCTGGTATATACTCTTATACTTGTGTATTTCATATTGGTATATACAAGCTGAGGTAGCAGAGATATCCTGTCATGCCACCTTCTGTCTGTTACGCTGGGGATAATAAGAGATTATACAGAATTGGGTACTGAACAGTATGCCAGTGAAATGTTGCCTTCAAACTCAGTTGATCCCATTTTGACCAGTTAAACTGACTTTGCAGTAAGGCTGTGCTAATGAGATGCAGTATGACCTTTCTGTATTATCAAATGATCTGACATCTTATCTAAATGGTGAAAAAGAATTTACAGCTAGATTGAAATTCTAGATGATAATAACTGTAGGCCTGTTTTTTTAGGTTGGGTTTTAAGAGTTAGAGTCGGAACTCTCAGTCCCATTTTGATTTCTTTTTTTCCAAGTTGCTGTAGATGTTATAACTTCTGCAAAAAGTTATCAATTTATTCCTTATGCTAAAAGGTAATACATTATAGTGTTAAGTCAACAGCAAACTCTTTTCCTAGCTTTTAGAAATTAATTTTGGGGGTTGAGCTAATTTAAAATGCAGAATTTTAATACTCAGTATTATTACTTAAGTAGAGTTTAATCTCAAGTTCAATATTTTTGATGAGTTACTTAGACAGTAGGACATCAGCAAGATTTTAAAATCTTCTGTAAGTGAGCATAATGTAATCATTTTGTAGTTATGACCAGAAACTTTACACGTTACTCCAGTTCTTACTGTATAAACTTCTGAGCAATAAAATTACTGCTAGAAGTACCAGTTAGTCTTGGATTAGAATGGCTTGCTGATTTTTCAGGGACTTTCAGTTAGGTAGTGTAGTCAACTATCTGAATATTTAAATTAACCAGACCAAATTATGTCCTAGGAATTTTTCTTGGAATTGGGGTACATAAACTGAGGTTTTTTTTATAAATCCTGAACAAGTTAAGCTTCTGTCGTTTCTATAGAAAAGGTAATTAAGGATTATAGTAGCTTTAAATGTGTTGTTTTAGTGGTGTACTGTATAAAATTAAAAAGTATGTGTCTGGAGACTTACTGTCACTAAAACCAAGTTGATTAAAACTCTGTGTATGTATCTGTTTGGTCTGGAGTTTGTATATGTTGTATAAGCCATGCTTTTTTCCCCCTCCCACCCCTCTTTTAGAAATATCATAATGAGAGAACTTGCTCCCCAGTTTCAAATTCCATGGTCGATTCCTTTGGAAGCTGAAGACATCCCTATTGTGCCAACCACCTCTGGAACAATGTAAGAGAATAGTAGCTCTACTTGAATTTTGTCAAGTCCTAATATAACATTTGTGTGAATTTTTTTTTCTCTTCACAAGGTGTGCCCACTTTCGCCTATGAACACTTGTTTTGTGTGGTGAAAACAAGGAAGGAATCACAATTGCTATGCCAGCAATCAGAGTTTCTGACCCTTAGTCAAGCTGAGTATAGAACAGCAGATTTTCAAGTGTAGCATCTTCTACGCATAGCTTCCTTCACTGCTAATCATTGTTCAGCACCAACTTAATATGCGCTTCTAATAAACATGCTCTCTCATTAAATAAACCTCAAAATTGTTGTTTTAAAAACTACTTAAAATAGATATTCTGTAGTTACCCAAGTCTTAAAATCAATATTTTTTATACCTTCCATCATTTTCAGTTAACCTTATATTCTTGCATATCCTTCCGTCACTTCTGTAGTTATGTCAAATATAATTGTCAGCTGTCTTGATTCATGGTATTTTTAATAATAAGAAAAAATGCCCATCCATTGAACTGAAGAAAAACTTTTAAAATTTCAGGATGGAGCTTAGATGTGTTATAGCTGTAATACGTCATGGGGACCGAACACCAAAACAAAAAATGAAAATGGAAGTAAAGCATCAGAAGTAAGTTGAATTTTGATTAAAAATTAGTTTCGTAACTTCAGAACCAAGGTCATGTCATAGGCATGTGGAAGTAATGCAATGAATTGAGCAGAAGTTGCATGCATGTTTGCAAGTTTGATTTTTTTTTTCTTTATAATGTAGCCAATGTTATTCTAGGTAATGACCAAGCATGCACCTCTCTTTGTAACGAGACAATGAAATTAATTGTGCAGACTTTCTTCATCCCGTGTTGCGACTTGTAAACACTCCCGTTTAATCTTAGTGAAAATACCTTTGTTTCTATAAGTGTCCTTACTCAAAATATTATAGCAGAGAATATTCTGGTTCACCATTTGACTGTAACGCTATGTCTTCTCTGACTTTCTCTTTTTGTCTTACTGTTGTTCTTGCATCAACTGTTATCTTACTGCACCACCTTTTTGTCTTCTGCCCTATGATTATATTGTGTTTTTGATAGATACTGTCTTTAGGTTAGAGATTATAAAGTGCCTTTCCTGGTGGCCCTGGAGTTATGTGCAATCTCAGTAAAACATAATTAGTTCGCACTGGGATTGGATTCTTGCATTCAGCATTATATGTTGTAAACGTGTAGCAAATGTACATTTACTATTTATAATCTCAGTTTCTGTCAAGGGTGGTTCTTGAAGATTAAAACTAGACCTAGCTGCACACTCAAAAATATTGTCATTTGATGTGTGGGGTGTTTGGGGTGGTGGAGGGGGGAGAGGAGTTTTGTCTTGTTTTTGTTTTCTTTGTATTTCCCTTAACACTTGGCAAGTCTGTATGTCTCTGACTTTTCTAATGTGTTGAGGACTTCTTTGGGAGATAAGATCTGAATGAATAAAGGTTGACTTGAGCTCTGAAGTTGAGATATAAACACACTTTTCTTATTATGTAAGGATGTTAATTTTAGGCTGCTTTAATTTTAAATGCCACTCGTTAAGTAACAATCTAACATTCTTACTAAATGTGTTTTTTGGGATATATTTGTTTATTTTAATCAATATACTTTCTCCTAAAGATTTTTTGATCTCTTTGAAAAATGTGATGGATATAAATCTGGAAAACTAAAACTGAAAAAACCAAAACAGTTGCAGGCAAGTTTGTCTTTATTTTTTCCCCTGGTATTTTATCAGTAGAAAATAATTTGTTTGTTTTAAGGAAGTCCTTTCCTTTCTTTTAGGAAGTGCTTGATATAGCAAGGCAACTCCTTGTAGAACTTGGGCAAAACAACGATTCTGAAATTGAAGAAAGTAAAGCAAAACTTGAACAGCTAAAGACCGTGTTAGAAATGTAAGTATCTAATTTTGTCTAATGCTTCATAGCAGTACAGATGTCTGTTACTCTTACTTCTTTAACTGTTAACGGTTACTGCTTGGAATTGCAATGATTAGCAAATAATATGCAATAGTGTTTTAATTCAGACATAAAGATTAGTGAGGGAAAGGATAGCTTCATGTTTGACATTAAGGAGAGGGTTCAAGAAGACCTGGCCTCTTTCCGTGTTTTCACCTTATCTTTTTTTCATGGAACTTAATGCTTAATTTAGCTTGCGTCTCAGTGCACTTTTTATGAAAGAACTGGTTTCTTTGATCTCCAGCTTTATTTTCTTGTATGTTTTTGAACTTAAAAGTACTTGAATGTAGGGTCTGTCTCTTGCAGTGTGTGACATAATGAAGTCTGCTGGAGCCAGTAGGTGGTTACGCTGCATGTATACTGTCTACCTTTTGGCAAACTTGGCAGGTTCCAAATAGATACAGCTTTGTATATGAAGCACGAAATGTTTTTAAATCAAACTAAGTCTTCAAGGTTTGTTAAGGACCTGCAGTCTTACAATTCTAAATGGTAATAGATAACTTTAATTCAAAAAATCAGAGCAAAACCAATAATTATTGAGATACATGAAACATCTCTCTGCTCTTCAGATCTCTTGAGTCCTGCTTAAAAACTTCAGTGGCCAACAAGTACTGTCCATCTACACTACCAGACGAGATTCTAGATATTGATGGTTGTAGATCTGAATAAATTACTCATGCTATCGGAAAACGTAGATTGCTTTTGCCTGCTATGCATATGCAGTTTTTCAGTTTTGTGTTCAGTGCAGTGAACAGTAATAGGGGGTACTATTTTGAAATGTTTCATCATAGAGTAGTTGCTATTTCTGTAGCCGTTCTGTGCTTTTTGAATAAGATTTGCTGCAAGCATTGCTTTAGTGTATGGGCAGTCTTATGCATAAATCAATGAGCAGCATAGTTTTATTACATCATAATTGTTACAGGAGCACAGTAGGTTTGAATATGTATTGGAAAAATATTTATTCCTCTCTGAAATATTGTTTATCTCTTCCCCTCTTCCTCCACCAATTCCTACTTCAGGTATGGGCATTTTTCAGGCATAAATCGCAAAGTCCAGTTAACGTATCTTCCTCATGGTTGCCCAAAAACTTCCAGTGAAGAGGAAGGTATCGTATTACTTTTGCATGTACTCTGTCTTAATAGAATGTCAATTTACATAATGAAGAGATTAATGGTATAACATTCTTGATGTTAAGAGGAGGAATATGTTGTTTTAAATGTTTACATTGATGGCAGATATTCAGCGAGTCTCTTCATCTGCTGAGTTGTACGCCTAAAACTAGATAGTAAATTTGTATTTTAATGTTGCTTTTTTTGTAAGAGTAAAATAGAGGGAAAGAAGCTTTGGTAATTCATCAGAAATGGTGTCCTGGGGCAGATATGGGGAAAATCCTGCACGCTGTTTACTACTATCTTTAAAGAATTTTTAAGCTTTTCTGGATGTTGACTGAACTAACTCTAGGTATTTAGCATCCTATTTGCTTTAACTTTCTTCCCCCTCAGATTTCTTACTAAATATTTTTCACTTACGTTTTCTCTGTGATTGAGCTACTGCAGGTTTCTCTGTTTAAGGTGCCCATTTTGTCCTCTAGTTCAGTGTTTTCTTAATGCTAGAATGCTATTAAAAATCCGTAATGTTGAAGAGATCCTTTACTAAAGCCCTGCATAATACCAGTATTTTTATTTATTTAAAAAAATTTGTAATGTAGCTCACTACTGAACTCCTCTCTCTGTGCACAATTAGATAATAGAAGAAATGAGCCGTCCCTGCTTCTGGTTCTGAAATGGGGAGGAGAACTGACCCCTGCAGGCAGGGTTCAAGCAGAGGAGCTTGGAAGGGCTTTCAGGTGCATGTATCCAGGTGGACAAGGTATATATTACAAAAAAAAAAAAATGTGTTGAATGGCATAAACTAATCACTTCTGAAGATGATCAAGTGTATAACGGGAGTTTGAGCAGAATGTTTGTTTGACAGGAGATTATGCTGGATTTCCTGGGTGTGGTTTACTTAGATTACATAGCACTTATCGACATGATCTCAAAATCTACGCTTCTGATGAGGGACGTGTTCAGATGACTGCAGCAGCTTTTGCAAAGGTATGGTGTGAAATTGTAATTTCAATTTAGAATTTAAACATCAAGATTGTTTCTTCTGCTGAAGACTGGGAGAGTTGTATGGTTTGTTACAGTCCACAGAGTAACAATGTTGTGTTTTAAAAAAAGTATATTTTCAAACAGTATTTAGGGCAATGTTAATAAATTTCCAGTTAACGTGCCTGGTATGTGAAGCTCCGAGAGAGCCGCTCTCTGCAGACAGGTTTAACTTATGCATAGCAATACACCTTAGTCCTTTTCAGTAACCACTTCCAAAAGAGACCAGCATTTATAGTTTCTACCTTGCCTATTTGTTTGGGGTTTATTTTCCTCAAATTTTGACAGATTTCTTTGACAAATTGTGTATGTGCGTGATGGGTAAAGCACAGCTGTTAGAACCGATTTACCTGTGCATTCATTTTACATGAGCAAAAAAACAATTTTCCATCACTTCACTTGGACCAAAGGGTCTTGAGTTCAGGAGGCAACACTTTCATTGAAACCATCTTTTGCATATTGCTTTGTAACAGTATACAGAAAGCTAGAGGGTTTGAAACTATAATAAATGTAGAATTAATAAACTACTTTAAATATAAACGGGAAATTGCAGTATAGATTATATGTGCATGGCTTTTTGGAATTCATAGAAAAAATTTCTTAGAATAAGAGATTGTTACAGGATGTTTTTTATATTTGGCCTTTCAGAATAACGACCTAATAGGTAAGACATGCTGACAATACTGCGTGCGCACATCTTACGACTTTGTACCAATTTATTGGAGCGAAGGCTTGATTTAGGCTCACTCGACACCAATGCCCCTTTGACAGAGCTGGATCTCCCACACCCACTGCCATCCTTAATCTGTAAATGCATATCTGCAGGCGGAGAGGGAGCTTTCGTTCTGTTGCCAGAAGTGTCTCTAGTTTCTGTCCGTCTCCATTTTGGAAGTCTTCATTCACCTCTTGTTCAAGTAAAGCCTTTGGTTGTCTCCTTTTATATCACAGTAGGTTTTGGCTTTTGCGTCTGTAGGATCTCTGCAAAGACCCTATCTGTCTCCTATATGTCCTCCCTGATGCTCTTCTGCCTGCTAACTCTTCCTGTAGCTGTTCACCTGGTGACTCAGCACGCTGACCAGAGCATGTTTTCTATAGGTCAGGCTGCTGTTGCTCCCAGCCTTGGGGAGAGGTGGCAGGAACCCCTGCAGCCCGAGACCTGGACAGCCAGGGCTTTCCTGGAGCTCTGGCAGCACCTCTGACATGCCAGGGTCGCTTCAGCAGGTGCTGAGGAGCATGCTTGGGGCACATCACCACCATTGTGTGTACCGACTCTAGCAATCCTACACACTAAAGCAGTGTTTTGGAGGCCACTTCCATGCCAACTGCTGCATTATCTGCCAAGTCCCTGTATATCTAACCTGTAGGCAAATGATACAACCTTGATTTAAATTGTTGATGTTTTGTTTTTTAAGGTGCTCTTACGTTTTCATCTTTATCTGTTTACCTAATTATATTGTTTGCTTCAGGGACTACTGGCGTTAGAGGGTGAGCTGACTCCCATTCTTGTCCAGATGGTAAAAAGCGCTAATATGAATGGTCTGTTGGACAGCGACAGTGATTCTTTAAGCAGCTGTCAGCATCGTGTTAAAGCGAGACTCCATGAAATTCTCCAGAGAGACAGAGAATTTACTGCTGATGACTATGATAAGGTTAGAATACAATTACTTTTCCTGTGAAATGAAATAAATAGTCAAGCAAATATTTGTATTGAAATAATAAGCAGGGATTTCATTTATCTATTTTGAAAAATGATGTGCTTGAAAATAATTTGAACTGAGGAGGAACCTGCAGGAATATTGTATTGGATATTGTATTGTCCCTTTGTGCAATTTGAGTTATCGGAATAGTTAAAAACTTTGAAATAGGATTGTTAATTGTTGAGAAGGACCACATTAGTGAATCTTTGTCACTGTTCCGATAAAATTTTTAAATTGTTCAAGAAATTTAATTACGTTTATATTTTTTGGTAATAGTTACTTTGTGTAGTATTGCAAAACGTGTTGCCTGTTTATTAAAGTTTGTACCAATATTTAACTAGCTACAAGGTTGCTTTTTCTGGTTCTAAGAATATTAAGATGCTGAAAGCCAGGGGAGCACTTTCTGAACAGCGGAAGGAAATGTCTCTTGAATATGCTAAATTAGTGCATCTTTATTAATAAAGTTTATGCTGCCTTCTACAAAATACAGATAATTATTCCTGGTTTTAAATGCAAGTGTTGTGTTAGGAACAGTTAGAAAATAGTTAGGAAACTTTTTTTTTTTTTTTTAAATCCTTTCAAATGCCCTTACTCTGCTTGGTATAACAACTGAAAACAAATCCTCAAAATGATATTTAAGTTTAATCTGTTGTCCTCTCAGAGGTATTGACAGCAATTTGTTGAAAAAATAATTTTATTAATCTGCCTGTATACTCTATGTGAACTCATCTAAATGTTTAGATTGAAGGTATGATCCAAATCACTGTTAGCAGTGGATTTCGCAGGAGCTGGAAAAAGTAACGTAAGGTACCAGGATAATTTTTTTGGCTGTATAAATGATGTGGGGTTTCAAAGGCAGCTGGAACTATTGAGCATGCTCTTCTAAGAGAAAGTCATTGAAAATTACTAAAGTTAGAGGTTTTTAAAGTGAAAATACCTTTTTTGTGGTGGTTTGTTCATTTTACTTGCCTGCAGTTTGGGGAAAATAAAGTGGTATTTTTTCCCTCTATCAAAGCACCATTCCTTCTGAATTACTTTAATTACTTTTGAATTTCCCAGGGCTTCACTGTAACATTTCTTATAAAACGTTTAGTCAGCTTCTAAGTACAATAGATACTGAACAGAAATTTTGGAAAATTGTTAAATGTGTATGAAGTCTTAAATGTCCTCAGAATTTTCACTTCCTGGAATAAAAGAGTTAGATCAACTCCTGAAGCTTGCTTTAGTCTACTATATAGAACTATTTACCATATGAATTTCTTGTAAGGTTTTACATCTCTAGTAAGTCTTACTGACTTTCAATTTATCTTATTGTTAATTCCTTTAAAGGGGGTAGATAATTGAGAAATGGTTTCAAAAATAACAATATGCTTGAATGCCTTTCCTGTAATACTTGGAATCTTTAGTACGTTCTGTCTTGACTCCCCAGTTCTTTCAAAATTAACCAGCTTGTTTAGATAATTTTGTGTTTATCTGAAATTGCAGCTTACTCCATCTGGAAGCATCTCTTTGATAAAATCAATGCAGGTTATCAAAAATCCTGTAAAGACATGCGACAAGGTCTATTCCTTAATCCAGAGCTTGACTTCTCAGATCAGGCAAAGAATGGAAGATCCAAAGTCTGCAGGTACTTAAATATTTTGTAGTTTTATGTAGTTCCTCACATTTATGTTTCAGAGAGAATTGTAACATAAACTTTCTTCATTAAACCGGCTTTTAGTAGAACTTCGATCAACAATGCCTTAGGGATTTTCACGGTCTGATCTTATATGTGTGATTTAAGAATAAAAGTTTTCTGCTTTCAAAATTATATGAGAGCAGCAGTGGTGTCTAGACACTCAGGGTAGCTTTCAGATATCTGCAGAAATTCTTGTCATAATAATTTAGGACTCACCAGTTTGCAGAAGGAATAGGAAAAACAAATGGTAATAAAGCTAAATTAGGTAAATACATTTTTATATTTAAGTATCTTTGAGGATCTGTTGCTTAGTCTATGTGCTACATAAAAATATTGTGCAGGCTGATGCTCTGGATTAATGGTGGTGAACCACTGCTGCAGGAAAGCTAGTGCTGGGATTGACCACAGATGGGTTTGGGGGAGGGGGGATTGTTTTTTTGTGGCTTTTTCTTTTGTTTTTGTGGGGTTTGTGTGTGTGTAGTTTATGTTCTCCACAGTAGTAGTATGCAAACAGCTTCTACTTGGAAGCTGGGCACTTAAGTGTTGCATTCAGAACACCAGCACTATGTGTTTGGTCCAGTCTGCTACCCTCTGGATGGGGGTTAGCCGTCCTTTCTTACTCATCTCTTGGCTTTGCTGATGACACATGCCAGAGAGAGAGGTGGGATATGCCCCCTGCTTTAAAGCGTTCTTGTTTGGTTGGGTTTTTGTATGATTTGTGCTTTAAGACACTTTCTTCTTGGTGCTGTAGTTTTGCTTACAGGGCCAGTGGTGTATTTCTGCTAGTTTTTGTTAAAATTATTTTCAAGTGTTAACAAAAGCACAATTTTAATTATGTTATTGTTTGGATGATCCTGAATACTTACGTGAGGTGTCTGTCTGTCCAGATATTCAGCTGTACCATAGTGAAACACTGGAACTAATGCTGCGCAGATGGGCCAAGTTGGAAAAAGACTTTAAAACAAAGAATGGAAGATATGATATTAGCAAAATTCCTGATATTTATGACTGTATAAAATATGATGTTCAGCACAATGGTTCCTTAAAATTAGAAAACACAATGGAATTATACAGACTTTCCAAGGCTTTAGCTGACATTGTGATCCCTCAGGTAAGCATTTTCCATTACTAAGTAGATTCTTTGTAGGATAAATGTTTCATTAAATTATGTGAAAGATGCCTTTTTTAATACTCTTCCTGTGTTTTGCAGTAATAGAAATCTTAAATTTCACCTCTTATCTTCTTGTAGCAAGCAGCTTATTTAGTTTATTAGGGGGAAGAAATAATTCTTTAGACTTCCCACACACCCTCCCTCCCCTGCACCCCTGGTGGATGGGTTTGTGTGTGTCATCTCAAATAGCATAAAAGCAGACCTCTTCTTACTTGAAGGGAAGTTAGTATTCAAGTGTACTAAAAACATTTTAAAAAACGGTTTGCTACCAGAGCAAAATAGTAGGTGACTAACTGACTTTAATATACAGGCCTTGAATGAGAAGATTTTTTTCTTTAACTAGATTTTTAAAGGTTGGTTCCTTCTTATACAGGAATATGGTATTTCCAAGGCTGAGAAACTAGAGATTGCCAAAGGTTACTGCACTCCTCTAGTTAGAAAAATCCGTTCTGACCTTCAGAGAACTCAAGATGATGATACTGTAAATAAGCTTCACCCTCTGTAAGTCTTTTACTTTTTTTACAGTTACATTAACTTCTGTAAGACTTACTGGAGACATTCCATAGCTTTCATATTTGAAATATCTTACCAGCTCACAGTCATTTAAAAAGTATAATTTATTCGTTGACAGCTATTTCTAAAATGGGGTCACATCTCATTATGATCTAATAAGACTTTTTTGACTTTTAAGCTACTCCAGGGGTGTTATGTCCCCTGAACGTCATGTTCGTACACGGCTATATTTCACCAGCGAGAGTCATGTTCATTCCCTGTTATCCACCCTTCGATATGGTGCCTTATGTGATGTAAGTTGAACGCTTTTTCTTCTGGTAAAACTCTGATATTTTAAGAGGAACCTAAATGACCAGATCTCACTAAAATTACATCAATTTATTTTCTTAGGTGGCTCTGAAAATTATCACACTTCTTAAAACATTTGATTTCTAATTATATGTGAAAGACATATTTCAAATAGTTAGTGTGTTCATTTGTGGAAAACAGTGGCTTGAGTATACCGTTGAAAGTGATGCTGAGTTCCATTGGTGTGTTCAGTTGTATAGGTTATTGTCTCAAGGGATCTGAAAAGGGCAGATAACAGTCTTTTGTTTTAAATTGTCACCCATAAGTTAATTCTGATTTCCCCTTCCCCCTTTGAGTTATAATTCAGATTTCTCTTGAATTTGCTTTTGGATTGGCGTATTGCTTTTGACCTTTGGGATATGGTCAAGACCTCCCTACCTGGCTTCTGGAATGCTCCTGTAGTGCAGCATTTGCACTGTTCAATGCATTGTCTTGCTTACCCGTAGTACTGTAGAGCACTTGAAGGTGGTGTGTTATTCTCCATCTTTTTGACCTTGACACCAAGGATAAAAAAGACAAGCTCCCCAGATTTGCATGTGACCCCACTGAGCTGCATGGAGAGAATAAATGTAGCACCTCAGAGCCTATATAGCTGCTTCTAAGATAGAGCTTGATTAATTTACTAGTTTTTGAAATAGTTGTATTGACATGCTTGCTTCTGGTAACAGAAGACTGAACTCATTGAGCGAAAAAGCACTTTTAGTCCTGGAGTTCAATGTGACGTAGTATAGCAGATAAGCCTTTAGTTTTAGGCTGATAAGAGGGACTTGTAAATGCAGTGTGTTTCATAATTTCTGGACCACTTTTAGAGCATGAGAGAGGTGAATGTTCGGTTTGGGATTGTATGGTAGGGTTCTCCTCCCCCCCATATTCCAGAAGCCCCCATTTACTCTGTCCATTTGGCTAGTAGAGAAGAATCTAGAAGCATAGCGTAATAGTTCCAGTTGTTTGGGTTTTTGTCCTCTGTCTTGGTAAGCCTAAAGTTGAGGGTGCAAAAAATAGGGGGTGGGGGGGGTTGTATCACTTTTTGACCACACACTACTTGGAACTAGATTATAGCAAAATCAAGATTCCAGTCAGGAGAATGTAAAATGTTACTTCTGTCTACAAGTCTGCATATGCTATCACTACCAGAAGAACATGAAAGATAAAATGAAATAAAATATGAAAAGTTCTGATCCCCACCTCTTATTCATTTAAGTATTTTAAAGTTATTTTTATATTTTTTTTTTTCTAGCTGTTCCTGAGAGTATTTTTTTTTCTTTACCTGGGAAGAGCTTTGTACTTCTGCTATAAAAGTAAAATCTATGTTAATTGGACAGGGAGAGGTAGAAATGGAGATCATCAGTTCTTTTAAAGAAGATCACTGATTTCTAATTTTCAAGATTTAAATATCTCACAAAGTGTTTGGGTTTTTTTTTTTCCTCCTCTCATAAGGAATCAAAAGATGAACAATGGAAGCGAGCTATGGATTATCTAAATGTTGTAAATGAACTCAATTACATGACACAGATTGTTATCATGCTTTATGAGGATCCAAACAAGGTATTTAAAATGGGTAAATATTTTCACAAATGAATAGTTCTAAGCTGTGTATTAAGATGTAAACATGTTTATCATTTTCTTTAGGAACTTTCTTCAGAGGAACGTTTTCATGTAGAGCTGCACTTTAGCCCAGGAGCAAAAGGCTGTGAAGAAGATAAAAATTTACCAGCTGGATATGGATACAGACCTGCCTCCCGAGAGGTAATTATGTCTGTCTTTCAGAAATACTAATTTTTGTTTTAATGTGGATATACCTAAAATAAATACTGAAAAATTGTTAGGTGAAAAATAATGTGATTGTTTTGTTTTGTAGAAAAATATCTAAGAAAATAAAGGTAGTCTCAGCACACTATTCCCTTTTGCATAGTCATTGGGGAAATGGAAGCATAATTTGGGCCTTTTTTGGGGTTTGCCTGACTGTATTGCTGGAAATGCAAAGTACTCGTTATAATGAAACTGGTGTCAGCAGGTAGTGTCACGTTAGTGATGTTCTGGCAAATACAAGAAATATTTAAGAAAATGAGGTAGTTTGGAATGTTTGGTAGTACCAATAGTTGAGGAAGGATTGATGCTTTCAAAGTTGTATGTGTAGATTTGTACAGTTACTACCTGCTTTCTAAGAAATAAGTGAAAGTAAAGCTTGGTGAGAATTCTGCGATTGTTTTCTGCGGCCAGAATTCTACCACTATGTTGAGAGAAAATTGGAGTAAGATATGGAGGTTGAGCAGTATGGTTAATTAGGACCTCATTGCCATATGCAGTGGCTAGTTAGGAGCAAATACTCATAGACATATAAAAGTCTATATATTTTTTTATGACTAGTCATTTGATAATACATGATTAATCTTTTATATTTTTAAAATCAACTTGCTTTTGGTTTGCACAAAAGATTTACATAATGACCATTTCTGTCTGCCTGTTGCAAAGTGTGTATCTAAATCAGAAAGGATTTATCTATTGCTTGTAGAATGAAGGCTCGAAGAAAACCTCCCATAGAAATGATAGTGACGAGGAGGCGCATGCTTCTAAAAGAGACGAAACAGATCGGTCAGTAGTGATGTTCAAGCCAATGGTATCAGACCCAATTCACATACACAGAAAGTCACCTCTTCCAAGATCCAGGAAGATTGGTTCTGTTGAAGTAAGTGTTTCTATTCCAAAGCGTATCTTTTACAGAAATGAAATTTCTGCTTGCTTTTAACAAAAAAGGCAATTCTGCTTTTGATTACACAAAAACAGAATGATATTATGCCTCATAAAAAGATTGCTTTAATTCTACAGGAAATCCTGCATGGCAGTGATCTATCTGAATACATTTTTTTTTTTTTAAATGAGTGATTATTTTGCCATATAATACTTCCCCCCTGCCCCTTTTTAAACCATACTAGAGAAAACCCTATTTGAAAGCAAAAACCTTTTCAGTCTAAGCCCACATCTCCTTCTAACTAACATACATTGCTTCTGTATTCATCCTTAAGACAGCTGCTATTGGGAATAAAGTGAACCTTCAGGGTGATCATGCTGAGAGGGGATGGAGGGTTTGGGGTAGTAGGGGGAGATACAGGAGGCGAGAGAAATGTTTTCAGCTGTATTTGCTTTCACATGGAGTGAAAGTGGCTCCAGTAGTCCAGCATTTGAAGGTAAGAGAACACACCGGCAGTGTTTTTTGAAGTGGGTGGGTTTTGCTTTTCATGAAGTCTTTAAATAACCTGAACAGTCTAGTCTCCACTTTTGAAGGCCGTGGCATCTAGGTGTGCTTCACAGATACAGCTTTAATGTCACAGCAGTGAGGAATGCACAGCAGTGTCACTGATACCACTTGTATGGTTGAGTGGCAAAGTTTCAGTTGGTGCATAGTGGCGCTTCTGTGACTTTAATGCTAGAATTAGACTAACAGCTTCATATTGCCTCATTTTCAGTTGCTTAAAACCATCAGAACTTAAGATCGGCACCAAACGCTTTTCCTTTTGTGTTTGTGTTGGGAATGGGCTTTTTGTACACAACGCGAGTATTACAGAAGTAAGATTTACAAGTAACTTGGTTATTAGTAGCGTGGAGAGAAAAAAATGCATGGTTTTCTTCTACAAGTATATCTTTATAACTTCACGTGACTTTCATAGATTAACAGAGGTAATACATGCGAATGTCTTACATTTTCTGTTTACAATTTTTATCACAAACAAATGCTTTCAACATCAGTACTTTGGATTTTTAAAAGCTGCTTTCACTGTGATCATGCAAGCTCCCCTCCTCGTTATGAGTTCACATACACACAGCTTAATAGTATTTCCAACTTTTAACCATTTTCATTCTTCTAAATTATTTAGAAGTTACTTTCAAAAGATATTAATGACATAAACTGCTAAATTTTGACTGTGCTGGTAATGCATGTTCGGATAGAATGTGTTGCAGCATTCAGCGTTAATTTCCGGGAAGGAAATAGCCTACTTAAAAGAAGTCATTCACTACGAAATTTTTTTTTGAAAAACTAAAATTGGAAGTCTCATCTGGCACACTGAAATCTGCAAAACCAGTATTTGGATTATTTAAACCAAATGGTATTTTCAGGTGTTTTTAAAAGTGTCATTTTATTACAACTTAAACTGCAACTGCCTTGAATTTTTTTTTCCCCATAGGCAATTCTCTTTTCACTTATGTCTGTTAATTTAAAGGGACACTGTCAGGTAATATTAGATGTAAATTTTAATCTGGGTTATAGTCCAACAATATTTACAGAAGAAATATTGCAACTCTGCATTGAATCATGAAAATAAACAACAGAGTCCTAACAGTAACATGAGAAAGTAAGGCTCATCAGCATTGAAAATCAAATTGTGTATTACTAAAAATGTTCATTGCTGATCACTGTAATAGTACATAGTGATGTAGGGCATGGGAGACTCTTAGCCTGACACTGTCCCTTGAAGTCTTATAGCTGTCCAGGATCAGAAAATTAAAAAATGTATATGTAATTTAAGTTGGAAAATCCGTGGTGCCACTAGCAGTCAGGCAGCTGTAAAAATCTCCGAGGAAATGCTAAAAATCGTTAGAATATTTTAGATAAGGTTGCAGACTAGAAATGAAAACTATTAAGTAGTAAATAGGAAAGGTTAATGTACTTAGAGGGGGAAACTATTAAACAGTACGTCAAGAATAATAGATGCTGTTTCCAACATGTAGAGAAATTTTTAAAGCTTTGAACCAATTATTGACCCCATTTTTTTTGTCTCATAACATTATGTAATAATTAGTCTGCCACAATTTGAAACTGTTGTATTAAAGATATAATTGATTGAGCAGAACTGATAATTTTGTAACATTACTCTTCCCTAGTCACTGTTTAATAGTTTTAAAAGCAGTATATAAAAGGGTGCAAGCAGACTGGGTTTTTTTTCTTTTCTGTTCATTTGGCTCTGTTGAATCTAACTTTGCATGCTTTGCTGTTTTTTGCCCCCTTTCTCACTTCCAGGAAGAGAGCCCCCTGAGTGTGTCTAGCCCAGAGTGTATTGGTACCTGGCTGCATTACACCAGTGGTGTGGGTACTGGGCGTCGAAGACGCAGATCAGGGGAACAAATCACTTCTTCCCCTGTCTCCCCTAAATCATTGGCTTTCACATCCAGTATTTTTGGCTCATGGCAACAGGTTTTTAAACTTTACTTCATTCAACATTATTATGCATTCCGAGCAACAACCAACTGTCTTTAAGGACATCTAATCCCTTGTTATGGAGTACATTCGAAGCAAATTCTTCCACTTCTTAAAATTACTTTCCGAGAATGTTTGGGGGATAAAAGAGTGAGTGCGTGTTTTTCCACTGAATGTGTTGTACATTTCCCTGAAGAATTGGTTTCTCTACAGGAATTGCAAATGTTAACACAGTAGAAAAGACATAGTCTACTGCCTAATGAAACAGATTTCTGCTTTGGCTTAGTTGTCCTTTAAGACTTTAAAAATGGCATTGCTTAATTTGGTGGTAGGTAAATTGAACTACTTTCTTTTTTTTTAATAGTGGCAAACAATACCATTAAAAATAATTTATTTGGACCTTCATACTGCTCAAAACTTGTTTTGCATATATCATATTTTCAGTGGCCTGGTATTAACTATTGCAGGGAACAAACTCTAGCACTAATAATTCTTGCCTTCTATATCTGGAGGTATCTAAAACTCCCAACACAGTACATCATCCATTGAATAGTACAATATTTTGAAGAGTTTTCTAAATGCTGTTGAAGAAGCAGAAAGAAAGATGCAAATATTTCTGAAGCATCAATGAAGATCCAAAGACTGTTTAATATTTCAAGATATTGCTTACGTTTGTGGCAATGGATGGTGTTCTGCTAAACATACCCTTTTTCTTCATAAAAACTTTCGTAATTTCTTTTTATTGTAGAAAATTTTTAAACTATTTATGTAGGAAAAGTATGTATCGGTAAAGGCTGTGAGCATCTGAAGATTACACTGATTGAGCCCATGCATGGATCAGTGATTGTATGGTGTCCTCAATAGTTTGTCTGTCTTTCCTTCCCTCCCCTCCTTTTTTCAATACAGGCGCAGTTTAGGAGAGTGCATTTGGTAAAATAAAATAAAATCTGTCTCAAATGTCTGTTCTCATATATGTCTTGGTCTGTGTCCTTTTTCATTCTGAATGCTTGCTTTGCACCACTTCATTGCAAGGAACTCATATGTGAAATGGACTCCCTTCAGAAGGGGATATTGCATGATCTTTCATATTTCCTTTACATATTTTTACTAACACTTATCATACAGCTTATTAACACTTGTCTGTCTGAAACAGGCTGCTGTATCAAGTTAAATAAACGTTTCATGCTGCTGTTCTATTTTTCCTTATTTTTCTGTTTTTTATATCCAGGTCCTATCAGAAAACAATAGTAATTTAAGAACACCAAGAACTATTCTGGAACAAAAGCAGAGTGGTCTAGGTATGTGCATATAATTGGCGTTTTGTTTCATGTTAGCTTTTCCTCCGTCCATTGTTCTGCGCAGTTATATATATATTTTTTTTTTTTAAAAAAAAAAGCTCTCTTGTGAACAGGACCAGGTAGTATTTGTAATCATTAATATCTCCTGATTGTCTGAAACAGTACAGACTGAACTGGACAATTTTTTTTTGCAGCAAAAGTTTTTACCTAAATTATAACTGAAAAGGACAAGTTGTTTGAGACTATTAACATTACTGACTTTTTACTGCCCAAAACAGGTACACAGGATTATTTTTAGCATGATGCAGATCTTTAAGATTATATAGTTTGTTTTGAGCTGTTGGGTTTTTGCAGAATCTTTTGGATTGAAAAGGCCTACTATGGAAACCATTAAAACACTTTTCTTGAAGATAACTAATTTTTCCTACTGTGGGCGATTGATGGAATTGAAGGTGTGGTACCAATGCAGGGGAGGGGGAAAAAAAAAGAAAAAAACAAGCAGACTTCAAGCTTCTTGGGTGTATGAGGGCTTTTGCACACATTCTCTTTCCTAAAATTAATTTTCCTTTCAATGTTAGGATTAATTATGGTATAATTCAATGAGTTGTTTCAAATTCTTTTAATACAAGAGATGTTTTCCTATTGTTTCTTTGAAAGAGGCATTCATTTGACCAATATACAAAAATATGAAATTTTGCACTGCTGTAAATTAATGTTGCATCTTTTTTCTGTAAATGTAAAATGTCTTTTTGTGAGAAAAATGCAGTGTAGAAAATACATAAAGCTTATGTGTATTAGGCTAGAAGTAGCTTTTCCTTTCCTTGTAAAGATCTGTTGTTTTTGTCTAATCTTTCTGTGATACTTTTCTCCCTACTATATTTTTTTTTCCTTAGTAAAATGCATACATCAGGTGCTCTTGTTTACTGAAGTCATTTTGTAATGTGTGCTTGCTAAAGTTAAACAACTTTTCTTTTGTCAGTGTGACACAATATGGCTTGTGGAATTTGATATATTTGTGTGTGTAGGTCAAGATGTTATTTTTGGTGCTTTTGCCACAGACCAGGCACCGATTTATTTTGGCTGTGATTGGTCACATGTGCTAGTAATGTTTCCTCTCATTAGGCCATCAAAAGTAATGAAAGGAAATATCTCTGGATAGTTGGTCCTTAAAAATCTGGTTCTACTTATCTCAAATGCAAAAGATAAGTTTCTAGTGAACCATTTCTCTTTTCAACTAGTAGTGAAGATTAAAGGAAAAAAATCACAGCATTTTTTTCCCTTTTATTCACTGGTGTATGTAAGTTTCATATATGGTGGATTATAAAAATATATATATGTTTCTGTGTATGGCTTTCAGTGATTTGTTAAAACTCCCAGTGGCAGGATTGTGTGAGTGGTAACAAAAGTATTCTCAATTGCATAGGAACGTACGGAAGTCTTTTCTCTAGGAAGGAAGTTGAGCTAAACTTGGTGAAACTTTTTGGTGTTTTCAGTTTCTACCATTGGCAATGAAGGCAGCTGAAATACTAAAAGAGTATTTCTGATTTGGTTAACACTTCATGGAGGTTGAAAGGGAAATATTTCCATGTTAAGTCTGTGGAAATGCACGAGTACTTCATTGCAACCTGTCATCTCAAAGGTTGATTTGGATGAAAGCAATGAGCAGTATTTTCCAGTTCGTATTTGTTTCAGGACTACAAGTTTTAAAATCCACAACTTTTACATCATCATCTTATTTTTGTTTTGTTGTTTTGGTTATGTTTACATTGACGCTAACTGGTAACTTTTCTTTACCAAACCTGAAAACAGGATATGAAGTCATTTTGTTAAAGTCAGCCCTCTCTTTGCACATATAGCAGAGGGTGCTGTGTCATGAGTAGAAGCACAATAAATTATGGTAGTTTCAGCCTACAAGTACCACTTTGACATTACAAGCATATTGTGAACCTGTCCAAGGCACTGCCAAAAGCTGCCTTTTGTGTGGTAAGAGCCCTGTGCTTGCATGCTGCATGCATCCCCAATGTGAATGGACGAACACCTGGTTGTTGTATGTATTTTCTCTAACTCCCATCAGGGTCTCACTGTGCGGGCCTGTTTAGCACCTCAGTGCTCGGGGGTTCTTCAAGTGCACCTAACCTACAGGATTATGCTCGTACTCATCGTAAAAAGCTGACTTCTTCTGGCTTCATAGATGGTATGTGCACACTCTCGCACATGCACGCACAAACCCATGTGCCACATTAAACTTCTAAAGATAAATCCTAGGTTACTGATTTTAATGGAATCCTAGAATCCTTTGCCTTAGTATTAATTGTATGAGTTTCCGTTGCTTCTTTATTGCCCATAGCTTGCTTATGTTTAACTTAATGGCATAGTTAATTCTTGTTACTGTCTTGAATTGAACACTAGCTCACAGACTTGTAATATACACGCCAAGAGATTTCAGCAAGTGCATTTTTCAATACGTTAAAATTTTAATTTTGAAATTCTCTTTCTCATTTTAAACTTCTGGTTTTATCATTTCTTATTGATCTTGAAATAAATTGCTTAGAGCATCTACAAGGAATGAGAGAAATGATAAACTAATAACTTAAAAATACTGATGGTGAAAATTTTAGGATTCCTGATTCTTTTCTGGTGGGGTGTGGCTTGCAGAAGAGCAGGAGGTTTTCAGTTTTGTATAATCTGGGGTAGAGCAGAAACTCTTTCAGTAGATTTCAGAATGTAAATATGTGATAGCGTACCTTTATAACATTGAAGTGAAACAGTATTCACGCTGTATTCCCCCCAAAATTCACTACTTAATGTTCAAGTCTAACCTGATAATAACCTTGTATGCCAGAATCACCAGCTCATTCTGCTTGTTTTCATACACTTCATTACACATCTTGTAGTTATCAACAGCCCAAATTTTCTTCTTTTAACCTCTATTTAGATTTTAGCCCTTTTCCCTGGTCCCCTCTGCATGCCAGTCAGTTCTAACACCTTCTCATTTTTTTTTCTTTCCTCTTCCTCTCCTTTTTTAAAATGTCCCTCTTTTGGTAGCTGTTACGAATTTCAGGTACCTGTTTTTCTCTTTCTCAGACACCACACGCGGTTCTGCTGTTAAAAGGTTTTCTATCTCATTTGCTCGACACCCAACCAATGGTACGTTTTGCTTTTATTTTAAAAAAACAAAAACAAAAGGTTCCTTGCTTCATCCCTTTTATTTTTATTTCAAATATGGGGTGTACAGTATCATCCAGCCACCTGTCGTTCCTAACTTCAAGCACAACTCCGAGTATATTTGTAATCATTAGATACCCTAAATCTCTTCTTTACCATTCATTAGTATAAATATGATGTCAAAATTCATTCATCAGAAAAATCTTTGGGAAATTGAAATGCTACTGTAAATCATGATCTCTAATAAATTATTCTTCCCAATTTTTCATGTGATCAGACTGTGTGGTACAAGATAAAAACAGAATTATATCTGATCTTTATTGGGCATACACTTCTTGATAGCTGCTGCTGCTTCTTCTTTGTCTTCCTTCTGCTGAGCCTGTTTCCCTCCTCGTTCCCAAGTAAATAATTGAATTGACAAATGGATTTTATGACTATCTTCTTGAAGTGATGCTAAATTTAAAAAAAAAAAAAAAAAAAGGAACATTCCTCCTAAATTCCAATATCTATCAAGGAACAAAAAATTTACTTGATCGTACTTGTCCTCTGTTCCTCAGATATGCAAATTACTTAAATATTGCACTAAAAAAATCACAGTGAGAGCATTGCCTGTCACTTACATTGACCTCTTGAACCTCAAGGGTGAGAGTTAACTTGTCTTCAGTCTACCATTTAAAAAAAAAAATCCTGGTTTAGCACACAGGACAGAGGTATATCTTTCTCTTCCTCAGCAAAATATTTCGCGCCTAACTTTCTACGTGATTAAATAGGCCCCAAATATATCCTGTTCATGGCAACCAGACTCTGTCTTCAGCTTTCACCAGGTCTTAGCGTAGCTTTTCCAGATGTCTTAATTGCAGTTTTAAAAAGTACGTGACTGCTGGCCCAGTACAGTGATGATAATATCATTGAAACTGCAGTGGAAATCATCAGCACTGTCGTGTTAGATTTGAAATGCACTTGTTTAGAAGCGAGGTTTAAGAAAAGTGAGTGCTTGCTTTGTTTTGCCGTGAAGCGATGGGTCCTCTACTGTATTCACGTGGAATCCGCAGCGAGTTGCACTGCAGTGTTCCTTGAAGGCAAACTGGTATGATAAGGCTGAGGGAATTACCAGTAAGCTTGTATTGGATCTAAAAAGGCCGACTCGAGTGTGCCGTTTCAAATACGAAATGTAGGAACCTATTTTTTATCTTTAGAATCTAATCAGATGATATTTCCAAAGCATTACAAAGTCAGAAAGTAAGAACTGCATTTGAATATAGATGTTTAATAGCTTGATTACTTTCTGTTCCATTCAGCACTATCTTTTGTGACTGCATTCTTTAAAAATACATCCATCGAAATTGCTTTTAATAAATGCATTGATTGTTCTGATTCATTTAATACAGATATTCTACCACACATCTTTCACAAGATAACGCATGCTGTATGAGCTCCTGTGAAACCTAAATATGTCACAGGTTTCTACGAGTTCTCTACTAACATACAATCATACAGATGTCATTTTGTCTGTCCTTTGGACTGTCATTGTGATTTTCCTTGTCCCTTTCACTCTCTTCTTCTTACTCTTATGTTGTTGTCGCCTTCTCACTCATTTCACAGACTACCCTGTCCCCCTCATCTTTAGTTCAAGGAACATGGTGAAACAAGTCTCTCCTGACAGTGCTTTACCTTATTTTCTGGGCCTCTGTGCAGAACACCCACACCGCTTTAGGTGCTGGTCCGTGTCCTCTGTGGAATGCCTAGGCTCCCGTGGTACGTCTGTCTCGCTAGCTTTCACCTGCAAGACAGCAGGGCGCCTTTTCAAATGCTGCGTGAACCCTTTCATTGTCTTGCGTTTTGAAGGGGACTGTGCCTTAAGGGTAAATATAGCCAAAACTCAAGGGCTGTTAGTTGGCAGGAAATTGCTTTATTCAAGGGATACTGTCAGGCTGCTTTGCCATTAAATGTGCGGATGTGTTTCTCAAATTCATTAAGTATTTATCATAACTTATCATAAAATATTCAAATAAAACACGTTAGGCAGATTTTCAGGGTATCTGTTGAAGTCATATCCCTTAGCTGCAAAGGTTTTATAACATTGTGCTGGGGTATGGCTATCTGATAGCAGAATTGCCAAAACTGAGCAAAAGCCTGGAGAAGGGGAATTCCTAAAACGATTTTTTTTTGTTTTTTAAAGAGGATGGCTCTATTTTGAAATTTCTTTCTGATTTTTCTATAGCATTGCCCTGTAACATTAATAGGTATTTAAAAAAAATTAACCTGACATTGTCCCACTGCGTTCTTTGCAAGAGTAAGATTTAAAAAAAAAAAAAAATTCTCATTCAGCTGATGGCAACACTTCTGTCAGGGTAAAAAGATAAATCTTGTGCATCTTACTGTAATGCAAAGAAAGGGTTTGCGCTTTGCATGCATGCATAGTTATATGGGATATTAACATGTATGCCAAACATTTTTTAGTGCTTACACTGAAGCTTAGCTGCTGTCTTTTTAAGAAAAAACATAAATGAAGAATGTGTTGGTGTTTCTTTTGCACATGAAAACTGAGTTTCCATGAAATGCAACATTTTATTTGTAGTATAAGTGAAGCTGACTTAAGCACGCTTCAGTTGATCTGGAGTGACTCTCCCTCAAAATTGAGTGTGGCCGTGGTGGATCCAAATATAAACACAGGCATTCTGGATTGAAAGTTCATGCAGTTATTTTTTATATGTAAATCGCTAAATGGGGAGCACATGGGGCACATTGGATATCGGAGGAATATTGATGCTTATTATTTTGGGGGAGGGAACAGTTCACAGTTATATTATTGCTATCTCTAAAAAATGTACCTTGAACTGAAATTCTAAACATTATTTCATTCACTATTGTTTCTTCATTTAAATATCTTAAATTTAGCAACTATAAATTTACAGTATTGAATTGCAAAGTTGTAATGTTACAGCTGTATGTGAAAACACTAATGGACACATTTTCTTCTTTTGAAATGCAATTGGATGAAGAGCTGTTCATTGAGTTATCAAACTTGCATCAGTTTACAGAATTGCAGTTTTATGTCGAGATGTGTTTAGATGCTTTTTGATATGTTAGTAATACAAATATGCATGTTTGGTTTTATGATTAATACTAACGTAGAAAAGTAGAGTCCAATAAATTTTTAGATTTTGGTTTGGTATACTTACCTGCTATAATATATGAAATTACTAGTGTTTTAAGTAATGGTTTTTAAATGCATATAGGTAGGTGTAGGTCTCTCTTCAAGGTTAAAACGTGTAGCCTCAAAGTTCACAAGCACTAATAGTGGTTTTCCGTGGATGCTTACGGCAACAGTTGTTTTCACAGAATACTCAAGATGATAGAAGGGGACTTCTGCAAACTTTTCTTGTTGAGAGTTTTAGCAATTTTAGCTCTTCTGTCTCAGCTAACTGTTGACAACATAACTGTCCTACTTTACTTGCATTAATGAGTTATCTATTTAGTGTTCTGCCTCGTATGAGAAAGAGTAGGGGAAAAATACTACTTTTTTGTGTTTTACTAAGTTTATCTTAAAAGAAAGTTATTCTTCATGAATTGATATGAGAGTAAAGTTTACTGTTTGTAGACCAATTCATGTGTTCATGGGACTTATATCCCGTGGTATATCACATGGTACTTTGAGTTTAGTATATTCTGGAAATTGGCCTACCTTTTTTCCAACGCCATGTTCTATTAATGTCATGGTTTCAAGAGTATTATGTCTACGTGTATTGATTTTTAAAATAAGTATTTTGTTTTGATGCATTAACATTTTGCCATGCGATAGCTTAGATCATGTCTTATGTTTGGAAATCTTTTTTTTTTATTATTTTTCTTACAGGTTTTGAACTGTATTCCATGGTGCCTTCTATTTGCCCTTTGGAAACCCTACACAATTCCCTGTCTTTAAAGCAGGTGGATGAATTTCTTGCCTCTGTTGCTGCTCCATCAAGTGAAAATCTACAAGAAACATGTACTGCTTTTAGTTGTAATTATGCTCATCTTAAATTGTTAAATGTTGTCAAGTTAATCTTTCCAATATTTTATAGCAAATGAATAAACTAAGAATATTGCTTATTTAAAAAGAGGAAAGGGGAAAAAAAAAGATATAGATTAGCTGTAATTTTAATTTTCGGAGCATCCTCTTGGTATATGAACATTGTCATATTCCATTGAGGTAATGTCCCTGTTGATTGGTATAGTAAATCAAAAATTTTATGAAATATTAATAGGTTTATTTCCTCATATTAAGAACTTCTCAGTGCTGTCCACGTTAATTCTAGATGGATTACAGAGAATGCTTTTTACTAACACTGAGCATGCACTTCCAGCTTTATATTGTACCGCTGTGCTGGCAGTAACCTTAGCAGAGCAGTGTTGCTTTTTTATCTTCTAATGCTGTTATGTCCTGTGTCTTTCAATGTTACTTGGTGTTTCCCATGTAGAGCGCCTTGCAATTACTTTTCTTTTAAATAAGCTGTGCTGCATGTTTCATGTTTACGTGATCTTGAAATGAGATGCGGACTGAGTTCTGTACCTGTGCATGTGTGGGTGAAGATGCTTTCCCATTGTGATTCTCCTGCTGTTTCTTTGGAAACTGTTTTCGGTTAGTTCAGATTTACCATTTATTAGGATGGTTATAACTTTTGTGTCAGGTGAGTGAAAAATGGGGTTGTCTTGAGGAAATGTTTAAAGAGTCATGCTTTTGATGAGAAAACTTGTGCTTGCTAGTGGTAATACAGAAGCAATATAAATACTATGTTTTTGTTTCTTTCTGGCTTTTTAAGTTTATATGCTTTAGATTTGAATCAGCAGCTAATTTGATAGTGTAGGCCTCCTACATACGGGAAGGAAGCTAATTAAGAAGACTGGTGTTTTTGGAAAACAAATCAGGGACACGATAAGTGTTTTAAAGTTCTTAGGTATTTAAAATGTTTTGTTACACTGCTTAGGATTTGGAAAGACGGTGTCTCCCTAAAAGCTGTTACGAATTTATAGTACACAAGAGGAAAAAAGTACTAAGAAAAAGTCATACTATTGAGGTGGTTTGGTAAGCAGAATTTTCACCATTCTGCTTATGTAGAGGTAATCCATATAGAGATCCTTCTGCTCTCTTACCACATTTGGGAGATGTCTAGAGAGTAATCTGTTGTACACCTGTTTCTTAGATATTTTGGACTACGTGTCAGTTCCAGTGGCGTTTTCGTAACCCATGAGAAGTAGCACTAATTCTGTTGTCAGTCATCTTCTGGCAAGGCAACCATTATTGAAACTTGGCATAGTTTCACACTGCCAAAGATGCTGTCATGTCACTTTCTGAGGGGAAAGAGGAAATTTTTGTCTTTCACGCTTTGAAGTGTTGACACAAGAGTCAAAAATCCGTGACTGACTTGCAGGTTTTATGGCTAAGGCTTCTGTAGTACTAGATACGTGGTGCTGTGACTACTGTTTTTGGCATTTTGCTAATATGAGCACATTTTTAATATTTGTGGTGTGTATCTTTCTCCCCCCTCCCCTTTCAGCTTCTCCAACTTATATGAGTCCACTGTCAGGAAGAAAAATTTCTTTAAATACATACACCCCTGCAAAAATTCAACCAACGCCACTTGAAACTTTGCCTGAAAGGCTAGCAATAGAGAAACCAACCATATGTAAGTACGTTCTATCAGAAGTGGAATAGCTAACTTCATTTAATTATTTCTAGCAGTAATTTTTTCTTACATATTGCATAACTTCTCAGGGCAGCTATTTCATAACATTCCCTATATATGCAGATAGGATCATTTTAGTAGAACTCATAGCATTGCCCGTGCACTTCTACCAGTAAACAGTAAAACTTTATTAATAGTTGCTTTCTGTTACGCTCTGAAGTGTTTGAAAGAAATGTTACGGTCTGAGAATTCATGGGGGGGATTTTTTTTGTCTTGTTTTGCCTTTAAGTATGTCAGTGTTTCTAGCCATGTCTGACTGCCATGGACAGAGAAAATGTATTTATTTAAATGGCAGAATTTCTAATGTGAATAGTAGTAATGAATCAAAAAAAAATTAACATTACCTCACTGAAGATCTGCTATTTACAAAACAGAGAAAGGAAGAAAAATAACCCAGGTAATTCGGGTAGTTGCTGCTATGCATCTGGAAGTTGACTGTTGAAAGGCAGGATTCCCCACAGAGCTTGTAGATACAGAAATTTAAAAAGAAGAAAAAGACCAGTGAGGTCCAAAGAAAATGACTTTTTTTTTTCCTGATGCTTTGGTAATAACATTAGCTTACTGCACACACAAGATATTCTTCCTTTACTGATTAAACATCATACACATGAGCAGAGAGTGTGTGTATATAATTGCAGTTAAAAGCTTTTTTTTTTCTTTTGAATACTGTGGAATTTTGCTGGTCATTGGTATATGGTCCTGACAGTTGCAACATTACATGAAAAAATTTAAAAAAAAAAAAAAAAAGTAATTTCTGACCTTTTTTTGACTTGAAACTAATAACATGACCCTGTTTGATTTTTTTTTTTTTCTTTTCCTTTGAGTTATGCTGTTTGTGGATGCCCACCAGTTTGTTTTTCATATCCTGGGCTTTGTATATTGGTTTCATCCAAAGGTGGTTTGGACTCTGAAACTGTGTGTTCAGATAAAACTTTTTGTGCCTTTGCTTTAGTAGTACATTTTGGGGTGGTTTTTTCATTTTTTGTTTTTAAGATAGGATAATGTTGTCTCCAACAGTGAAAAGTATAATACTAAACAATGCTTATTTAAACAGAGAAGATGCTAGATAAAAGATTTTTTTAAAGATACTAATATTTGAAAACGTGTGAGTACATCTTCTAGAAAGTACGCTATAGCATCTAATAGGAAGTTTCTCATTCTGCTTTTTGTGGCACTTGGGGCAATACTATGTTGTTGGAAATGTAACATGATGAGAGGAAGAAAATTCTCTCAGCTCTGTATCTCAATGCCAATGTCCAGGCAGTGTCCTGTAACTGTAGTGTGAGTAAAACTAATAATTTTTGTCTGCATGTTTAAAAAAAAGATTAAATCATTGAGCCAATTGGAGCTTATCATTTATATCACAGAGCTGCTTGATCAGATTTTGGTTAAAGCAACCAATAACATTATATTATGACTAATATGTGCGAGCTGAACTGTCAGCCAGGCATGCTGTCTGCTTTCGGATATTCGTGCTGTTTTGAGGGCATCAAGAACAAAGTCAGACTGCATTTCTGGTCTCATTAGATACGGCCCTGCAGTTCTAAACTAGCTTGTCAAGGCTACTCTGAAAGAACTTGCTAACTTTCCTCTTTATTTGGTCATAGAGTTCGGAGGTAAACACTGATCTTCACTGCCCCCCCCCCTTTTTTTTTTTTAAACCAAAATACTTTCTCTTAGCTTTTGCCTATGTTAGAAACTTTTTCTTGGC